TGGGGTAGCTCCCTCTCTGCTCCCTAGGACTGCCCTGTGCACAGTAGGGTGCTGGAGGTCATCCACTCACGAGCTGGCAGTAGCACCACCACCCTTTGACAACCACAGATGCCCCCAGACATGCCACGTGTCCTCCGTTGTCCACGCCTGGTCTAGGCGATGAGGGCCAGGAATGGATGAACAGGTGTGGGATCCAGCGGCAATGTGCGCCTCGAAGTTCAGAGGTTCTAGAGGGGGAGGGGCGAGCGTTCGGTGGCCATGGTTACCTGGATCCAGCGGTCATTGCGGTTCTCGTCCTGTGGGCAGATGGTCAGCTTGCAGCCTGCCATCTCTGCCAGCTCCGCCACGGCGTTCACAAAACACGTGTTGTTCCTCACACTGCAGACAAGCCCGGGGAGGGTGGCTCAGGACAGAAAGGGGCCTGGGGCTGTGGGGGCCACCAGAGCCCGAAGGACGCCCCCCAGCCCTCAGTCTCACCGGCACACGTAGACCTCCAGGGGCGGCTGGGTACTGGGCGTCATGATCCAGGGTGCCACCCGAAACACCGCGGTGTCCGTGAAGATCGGGCTCTCGGAGAAATCCTGCGGGGCAGCCGAGAAGGGGAAGAGCACTGGGTTCAGCGGCCTGGGTGCCTGCCCCAGTTTCCCTCCTGTCACCCCTGAGCAAGTCGTTTGCTTCTCTGAGTCCTTGTTTCTGGAGAGGAACCACAGGGGAGCCTGGAAGTCTGGGGTCTCCCAAGCCAGTGTACCTGTGTCTCTCAGTAATAGAGCCCCCTGCCTGACCTCCCTGCCTGGCCTCCCTGTACCTCATTCGAGTCGTCCAGCAGGGTGACATGGAAGGAGATGAGTCCATTGAAGCCGGCATCAGGGAAGGCAAGGCCTTCCACGAAGAAGTGCTCCTCCCCACCATGGAAGCGGGGCACCACGTACGATACCTTGTCCTGGCCTAGCACATGCAGGTAGGCCTCACACGAGTCCTTGGGACCTGGGGAAGGGGACGACCAGTGGCCAGAAGTCCTAGTGGGCCCGAGGACTTCAAAGGGTGCCACAACAGAAGTAAAAGACGCGCAGTTTCGCCAGCCAGAAAACGCAGGTCAGGCAGCTCCTGCCTAGCACCTCACTGGCAGAGGTGAGAAAGGCGCATACTATTCAGTGCTGGTGAGGCTGCAGGGAGAGGCCATTCCCGCCGAGGCAGCTAGTCAGATTGATAGCCGCAACAACCATGGACTCCAGCCTACCATCTGTTTGTCTGACAGTGGACATGGCGTGGGACCAGGCAATGTTTCACTCTGTTCTACATGAGCCAGAGCCAACTTCTGAGCGCTAACACAACAGCTTCTGTATTGTTAACTCTTCTTTAAAACCGAGCGTCTTATTACTTGTTTACATTTGGTTTGTGTGTGTGTGTGTGTGTCTAATGTGCTTTTATTTATTCATCCATTTATTTATTTATTTATTTTTAACATTTTATTAGGGGCTCATACAACTGTTATCCCAATCCATACACACATCAATTGTGTAAAGTGCATTTGTACATCGTTTCTCAAAACGTTTCTCTCCACTTAAACCCCCGACATTAGGTCCTCATTTTCCCCTCCCTCCCCGCTCCCCCCTCCCGCATGAGCCCTTGATAGTTTATAAATGCGTATTTTGTCATATCTTGCCCTGTCCGACGTCTCCCTTCACCCACTTTTCGGTTGTCTGTCCCCCAGGGAGGAGGTCACACACAGTTCCATGTAATCGGTTCCCTCTTTCCTACCCATTCTCCCTTTACCCTCACTGTTTCGCCACTCACACCACTGGTCCTATAGGACTCATCCGTCCTGGATTCCCTGTATTTTCAGTTCCTATCTATACCAGTGTACCTCCTCTGGTCTAGCCAGACTTGCAAGATCGAATTCGAGTCATGGTAGTGGGAGCGGGGAGGAAACATTTAGGAACTAGAGGAAAGTTGTATTTCTCATCGTTGTTACATCGCACCCTGACTGGCTCGTCTCCTCCCCGAGACCCCTCTGCAAGGGGATCTCCAGTGGCCTACTAATGGACTTTGGATCTCCACTCCGCACTCCCCCCATCATTCACTATGGTAAGATTTTTTGTTCTGATGATCCCTTACACCTGATCCCTTCGACACCTTGTGATTGCATAGGCTGGTGTACTTCTTCCATGTGGGCTTTGTTGCTTCTGAGCTTGATGGCTGCTTGATTACCTTCAAGCCTTTAAGACCCCAGACGCTATACTTTTTGATAGCCGGGCACCATCAGCTTTCTTCGCCACATTTGTACTTTTTAAAAGGTGTTTTGTATGCCCATTTTTATTTACTGAGACCATAGACTGTGGCTGCATGAAACATTTTATCAAAGGGTGGACACCGAATTATGAAAGGGAAAAATCCTCACATCTAGGATCGACTTTAAGTAGACTAGCAAAGTGTGACGCAGAATGTGAACGGTGCCGGCTATCGGAAAGAATAGTGTCTGGGGCCTTAAAAGCTTGTTTTACAACAAGCAGCCATCTAAGTGAGGTCCCAGCCAAGCCCACCTGGAAGAAGTACACCAGTCTTTGTGATCCAAGAATTGTAACTAATAAAATTCACCGTCAGAGGAGGGAACTGCATTAGAGCTTAAATTCTGAGCACCAGGTTTGCAGAAGGCTGTGGACGAGGTGAAAGCACGGAGCCTCCATCGACCTCCCTAGGACCACTGACCAGGAAGGCTTCCCCACAGGCAGAGTGCATGAGAAAGTGAGTGAACACAGATGGAGGAAGGTTAAAGGTTAGCATCGTATGATCTGGTTTCCTATTTGACCCATTTTAAATTTTGTTCTGGTTTTTACTATGTTCTGCTTCTTTTGGATGGAGGTTTTCCTGTGTTTTATTTTATTGTTGATGACTTGGGGGGATATATTTTTCTTTATATGAAATCTAGGATAAGGAAATCTATAGAGACAGTAACTAGAATAATCATGTTTAGGGTTATGGCAAAAGGAGTCTGAAGGGGGAGCGGGGAGCTAATGAGCACAGAAATGAAGAAAATGTTCTCAGAGTGTGGCGTGACCGCACAGGTCTTCCACAAATCTAAGCCATTGGGGGTGGGTGGGGGGCAGGCCTCAGCAGAACACCGAAGGCGCTGTGAGTGAAAAGAGAGACACCTTGGTGATGGTTGTCTCTGGGGGGTGGGCCCCGAGCATTCACTGCTCTGCTCTCTCTACTTTTGCTCACCTTTGAGCCTTCTTTGGGTCACAAACATTTCTTCATATGCCTAACGTAAGGTGTGAAAGTCCACTTAGACTAGCAGGTCAGCCCTAAGCTCTTACACCCGGTCCTTCTTCCTCAGCCCCCACAGCAGCGCTCTCCCACGGCCCAGACAGCAAGGCGGCTGAGCTTGAACTCACCACAGGCATGGAAGACACGTGCCCGCTGGGCTTCGTAGCTGGAGGTGTGGAGGACAAGTTTGTGGTCTTCAAAGAGGGCAGCAGGGCCATGGGTCCGCAGGACCATGACAGACATGTCTTCTAGGTCTGCAGAGACAGACGGAGGTCCTTGGCCGGGGCCCCTGGCCCATCCGGCCCTCTAGCATCTTCCACTCCCGTCCCCCTCCCCCCCAGCACAGAGAGTCTCAGGCCTAGGCCTTCCAGCCTCACTCTGCCCACCTGGGAAATTATCCCAAGCAAGCCAGGGAGATAGCTGTGAGTTACGTAAGAGGCAGTAAGAACAGCTGAGCCACCAGCTCAGTTGCTGGCAGACCACAGATTCTCAGGTGGCACACCGGGGAGGGACAGGGTCTGAGTCCCAGTGCGCACTCTCAGTGTGACACTGAGTAAAGCTCCCTGGTGCCGGGCCCTGTCCCCACTGTGCCCCAAGCCTTGGCTTCCCCACTTGTGGGGTGAGGGGCAGTGGGGCCCACATTTGAAGATGGCTGGGAGCCGTGGGGGGTGAAGCTCTTGCCACACACAGACGCAGTTGCGGCCTTCACACAGGGAGGTGCGGGTGGACTTGGAAGGAGGTCAGGGATCACCGACCATCTAGGCCAGCGGGATGGGAGTGGGTGGGGGGTGGGGCGGGGTCAGAAGAGAGAGGTCTGGACCTGCCCTAAGCTGGACGTTTCTGGACCTCCACACTTCAGCATCCTCATTTCCCAATCAAGATGACGATATTCGTAACCCAGCCACTGTCAAGTTGACGCCTGACCAGGATGACCCCCATGCGTGTCAGAACTGTGCTCCATCGGGATTTTTGATGGCTGGTTTTTCGGGAGCAGTAGATCACCAGGCCTTTTTTCCAAGGTGCCTCTGTTTAGACTTGAACCTCCAACCTTGTGGTTAGCTCAGACTAAAAAACTCACTGACATTGAGTCAATGCTGACTCACAGGGACCCTATAAGACAGGCTGAAACTGCCCCTGTGGGTTTCCAAGACTGTAACTCTTTACAGGAGTAGAAGAAAGCCTCATCTTTCTTCCACAGAGAGGCTTGTGACTTTGAACTCCTGCCCTTGTGGTTACCAACCCGATGCATAACCATTACGCCACCAGGGCTCCTGGTACATTAACTGTCTGCACCACTCAGGGGCTCCAAGAGGACATACCCTTCTGTTTTGCATACATGGATTTGTGTCATAAGTCATTGGGGGTGAAAGGAGAATGTGAATGGGGGGGGGGCAGACTAAGCACACAGTAGGTGCTTAAATCATGTGAGCACCCTCTCCTCCCCCCACCATGTGGGTCCCCCTGGCACTGGGAGAAGGGCAGTGCCTGCTGAGGGTGCAGTTGGAGGGGCACTGAGACGTCCATGGTGCTGGGATTCTGGCATTTGCCTTCAGAGCCCTTGTCTGGGGCTGGGGTCCGGCGAGGCCCCTTACCTTGTGGACAGCGCACCTGCTGGTCAGAGTTGTCCCGTTTGCCATAACTCGGATCATCCCGGTCACAGTTTACCAGCAGTATGGCTCCGTATCCACTGGGCCCCCAGACCCACTGCCGCTGCAAATGCAGAATCGGACCAGTGCTAGGGCTCTGGCCTCCCGGCTCGCTAATCACATCTTGTGCCCTTCCACCGATGCACCCCTGCTCAAGAACTAGCAGGGGCTCTCTAATCCCACACCACCAAGTCCATGGGACACAGTTGTCTTCAAGGCTGTCTCTGATGTGGCTCCATCCACAGCTTCCTGGTTATGGGGCCACACACCTCACGGCACTGCACCCACCCCTTCTCCCCTGCCTGTGCCCCTACTTCATGACTTGTCACCACAACTCAGCCCAGAGATCTTTAACGGCTTCAACCTCCCTAAAAGCAAAACCCAGACCTTCCTATAGAGTGCCCCTATCACCAGCGCCAGGAAGTCAGTTTACCCACGGGCCACATCTGGCCCACTGCTTGCTGTTGTAAATAAAGTTGTCTTGGAACATGGGTTTCTGTGTCGTCCACGGCTGCATTCACACCACCATGGTGGAGTTGAGCAGGGGTGACAAACCACATGGCCCACAAAGCTTAAGGTGTCTTCTATCTGGCTTTGATAGTGTGTGCTGACCCTTGACCTAGGCTGTAAGTCTAGAAGGGATCCCCCACACACACACACAAGCCGAGGTGTAGTGCAGGGCTGGGGACATCTGCGCGTGGCCATTCTCAGTGAGGCCCGGTCTCTGTAATCATGACTGGTTTCCACTGGGCTCCCCAGGAGAAGGCAGCAGCTGGAGACCAGGGAAGGTGATCCATGTCTTGTCTCCATTTAAATGCAGCTCCCCTTCCTGGGCCCAGCCAGAGGTACCCTACCTTGTCCAAAAAGTTCCTGTCCCCTCTGCCCTCACGGTTCAGGTCACAATCCAGGGTGATGTCTGCAAGGGGGAGACAGAGGTAGAGTCAATGCAGGGTCCCAGGAGGCCAGTGCAGATCTGTGGCCCCCTCCTCTTAGCCTCCGTCTCAGGGTGTGTCTGGGAGTGGGCAAGTCTAAGTCTTGCCAAGAAGACACAGTCCAGTGGCAGAGGGTCTGGTACCCACCTGCCTGGGGGAAGATGGAGGGGCCTGGAAACAGCTCAGAGCCAATGGCAGGCCCCCTCCAGGAAACCTTCCCTGACCGCTCTCCTCTGCCTTGGGCCCTAGCTGTCCAGCACACCCTGCACTGAGCCCGGGTCCCCCTGGACTGGCTGGTCCCCTGTGAAGCTGACTTTCTACCGGGGATGGGCAGTGCGCCAGGATCTTGGGGTCACACAGAGGTGGACGTGGATCTGGACTCTGCTCCTCCCCGGCTGTGTGACCTCAGCCAGGTCGCCTCAGCCCTCTGAGCCTCAGCTCCTTCAGCCGCTCCTGTGACGGCCACCCCGACCCCACCTTCCGACCAGTTCTCCCTGGAGATCGCAGGGGCTTTTACAACACAGGGGTCAGAGCCACTCTTCCTGCCCTTGAATAAACCAAGTTCGTTGGGGTTCTAACATGAAAATGGAAGGAGAGTGGGGGGCGGGGGAGGAAAAGGGGGAATTTGAAAGTGCATCATGTGACATCTGAAATGCTGCGCAGACCTGTGAAAAGATGCCCAGTCGTATGCGGCAAACGGAGGCGTCTCCCAACGCGGGGCAGAGGAAGCTGATGCCGAGAAGGGTGCTCCACGTGCCTCCATCCGCAGAGACCCCCCCAGACAGGTAGTCCCGGAAGCCCACGCGGGCTGCTCTGCTCTGTCCTGTAGATCCCCGTGAGTCAGAATGGTCTCCATGGCAACGCGTCTGGTTTGGCCGTCGCTGTGGTCTTGCTCCCCGGTGCAGCAAATCCCCCACCTGTTCTTTCAAATGGCCTTCGCTCTCCTGGCCCCCTGGGCTTCCATGTGTGCTTTAAGGCAGCCCTGTCGTTCTGTTCCACAATTCAAATGCTGATGGGGCCTTGAGTTTAGAACGTGGGTACTCTCCCACAGGGTTGGATCTCTGCGGCTTGTTGGCTGGTTTGGAATTGTTTTGTTTGCCTTCTTTCTCTCTCTCTCTTTCAGTTTGGGGACATCTCTTGACCTAGCTTCACGGAGTCTTTCCTTGACTGCATCTGCTGATAAGCCCATTCACGGCCGCGGGCATCTCCATGAGCGTGACTTGGATGCTTAGTTTTTCCACTTGACACTCATGGTTCTCAACTCCCTGACGGACCCACCTGTTCACGCATGTGGCCAACCTCGTCCACAAGAGCCCTCCACACATTAAACCAGAGTGGCATTACGCCACTCCTACTTAGGCAGTGCCAACCTCGGAATCATCTTACGTGGAGTTTATAGATCCGCTCGTGGATAATTGGGAAAACCAGGTCCCTGTAGACTGTATGGTGCTGGGTTTGGGGAACTGGGCATGGTTAGGGTGAAGGGAGAAAAGAAGTTGGCTTTTCAATGCCTGCTCTTTGGGGCTATTTGAGCTTTCTAAAGGTGAACTTTTTAAAAAATGAATTACTTAATTTTAGTGTTTATTTTATTGGGGGCTCTCATAGCTCTTATCACAATCCATACATCTATCCATTGTGTCAAACACATCTGTACATATGTTGCCATCATCTTTTTCAAAACATTTCTTTCTACTTGAGCTCCTCATTTGCCCTCCTCTCTCCTCCACCCTCCCTCCCTCATGTTCCCTTGATAATTTATAAATTTTTTTTTCATGTCTTACACCAACCGCTATCTCCTTTCACCCACTTTTCTGCTGTCTGTCCCCCTGAGATGAGGGCCATATGTGGATCATTGTGATCAGTTGCCCCTTATTCCCCCCTCCCTTCCCTTACCCTCCTAGTATTGCTGCTCCCCTTATTGGTCCTGAGGGATTTACCTGTCCTGGATTCCCTGTGTTGCAAACTCTTATTTGTGCCAGTATACATGTTTTGGTCTAGCCAGATTTGTAACATAGAATTGGGGTCATGATAGTGGGGTGCGGGGAGGAAGCATTAAAGAACTAGAGGAAGGTTGAACTTCTTATAGTAATAAAAAAAATGAAACAAATTGATTTTTGTAAAAAGACGTCATGCCCAACTACTCCCACTCCCAGCCATTGGCCAAGGTCCTTCTGGCCAGGCCCCAACATGCCCCGACTTACCCACACACGTGAGGTAGAGCACCGCGTAGGCCAGGGGCAAGGGCTGATGGCTGGAGTGGTAGGAAATCTGAACCTATGAGAGAGGACCCCACATTCATGCCCACTGAAGCCCAGAGTCCCCCACACACCCAAAGACTGTGCACTAAGGGTGAGCTGACCGCTCCGTGGGCCTTTCCGTGCCTCAGTTAGTCCACGGAACGGTCTGTGAGGGAGCTTCCCACGATCTGCTGTGGGCTTGTGATGAGGCCTGGTTCTCCCTTGGGGTTCCGTTTCTCCATTTCAAAGGAGGGTCTGCACTGGGCAAGGCTTAGGGGTCCTTTCCAAGCCAGAGTCCTCCCCAGAAGGACTCAGACAGGCAAGAGTTTTAGGCCGGCCTTCTGGTTTCTCTGCCTTGACCAAGGTCCATCAGTCACCAATCTGAGCTGCCTCAGTCTCCTGATCTGAAAAGTGGGGACAATAGAGCTGCTCCCTGCCCAGAGGACCGGGCCACAGCTGAGCAGTCATGGGTGAAAAGGATGGAAGCGTAGGGCGCACCCAAGCGCTACCAGCCATTGGTATGGGTGGGCAGGTGGCGTCATGGGTCAGGCCGGGGTGAGGTCCAGAGCTCTGGACTCTGATGGCCTGGGCCCAGTTCTGGATCTACACTTCTGAAAACTTCAGGAAAAGTTATCCACCCTCTCTGGGCCTCAGCATCTTCACCTGTAAAGACAGGATGGGAACATTTCCTGTCTCCCCAGCCCCGGCCCAGCACGAGACATGATATGCTTCACCGATGCCTACTACCTCAGGTGCCCACAGCCACTGGAGGAGGAGGACGAGGGTGGAGGGGATGCAGGAGCGGAGGAAATGCCCCCTGCCGCCACCAGTCTTCCATTTGAGTGCGGCTCTGACATTTCATCTCTGTCAGGGGGCTCAGAGTCTGACAGAGGCCACCTCGCCCTTCCAGCCCTGGGAGCCCCCTAAATCCTATCATTACAGACCCCCGAGGGCCAAGCCCCACCAAAGATGGGACAAACCAGGACTGGATCCCAGCCAAAGAGGCAGCAGGGAGGGGAGATGCTGCCCCTCCCCAATCCCTCAAACTGCCACTGGGGTCATGGAGCTCCGGTGGGGGGCACCCAGACAGCCCCCAGGCAGGCAAGACACCCAGAGGGCCACCCTTCACAGGCTCTGTGGCCCTCTTGCCCTCCTCTGGGGACTTCATCCTGAACTTCCCTAACTCTGCCCTCACTAAATCGGGTGACTTCAGAGAAACCACGCCTGTTCTGGGTCTCGGGTCCTTGTCTGCAAATGGGTTTGGTCTGAGTCCTGCGCCCCATGCCTCGCCAAGGTGTGGAGAAGCTCTGTTCTGAGGCGGCTCGAGGACCCTGTGTGCAGGTGTCAGGCAGGCCTGCATTAAGTGCAGCTCTCCCGCTCAGGAACATCTGTGAAATGGGATGCAGAACCCCTGCCTCTAGGGCTGGAGAAGGTCATCGCTGCCCATGGGCCCAACACGGACTAAACCCACGGCCTCCAACACCCCCTGAGTCCCCACAGGACCCCCAAGGCCGGCATCTCTCGGGACGGAGACCGATCCAGCTTTCTCTCGCAGTGGCTGCTGGGTTGGTTCAGACCGCAACCTTCGGCTAGCAGCCACGGACTCACCGCCGGCACCCTTGGGGATCTCTTGGCGCATGGTCACTGCTGGCTTTCCAAAATATCCCCAAGTCCTGGTCCCCACCAGCCCTTTCTGGAGACATCACCTGTACCGAGCCGGGGTCCCCATTTCTCTTACTCGAGATGTCCTGCAGACAAGGACCCCCGGCACACAGGGTTACCAGTTGCAATGTCAACAGTTTGCAGCCCCCGACTTCTCTACAGGAGAAAGATGTGGGAGGAGTTTTCCTCTGTCCCATTGACACAGCGGTTATGGGTTGGGCTGCTAACCACAAGGTCAGCTGTTCGAAACCAGCAGTCACTCCAGGGGAGAAAGACAAGGCTTTTTAGTCCCATACGGGTGGCGCATCTCAGAAGCCCACAGAGGCGGTCTAGCCTGTCCTGAGGGCTGCTCTGAGCTGATGCTGGCTCGATGGCAGGGTTGGTTCATGGCCACTCCGCGCCACATTGACTGGATGACAGCAAGTGTGGGTCTGGGTTTGGGTCTGAAGTTGGGCTCAAGAAGAGGGGAAGTGAGGCACCACGGGGAGTCTCTGCCTACAAAGGGGGTCTCCTGAGGCTCCGGCCTGTCCCCCCACTCTGTCCCTGCTTTCTCTCCTTCAGTCATTCAGAATGGGCACTCCTCAGCCAGCAGTGAGGCAGGCCTAGCACAGCAGGGTCGGACAGCCCCCTCCCCTCATGTTCTAGTCCCACCCTCCCGCTGTCTGGGACTAGCCCCGTTTCCCGAGGGAGGCCCAACAAAGCTAGGCGACCTGCCATACCGTTTGTGTCTGCAAATTACAGAGCTGAACTTCGAACCCGGGCAGTCTGACTCGGGACCCAGGCGCTTACCCACTGTGGACCCTGCGCTGCCCGTAAGCGAGAGGCTAGGTCCTCCTGGAGCTGAG